CTTAATCAGTCTCTTGTTATACTTGTGATGTTCACAAGTTTATACTCGAAATGTAAAATTTTGCTTCAAGATTGGGTTGCATCGGTACCTGAACTAGTGACAGGGAGTGAAGTAGTCGAGCGTGTTGATCGCTTCACTTATCTGGGGAGTCTCATCAGTGCTGATGGCCTGGTGACTGACGAAACCTAAGCACGGATACAGAAAGCTCAATTGGCTTTTTCAACTTGCGTCACCTATGGTGCAGACGAGATATCCGTTTGCTAACCAAAAGATAAGTGACCTGCGCAGCAGTTCGCTCCGTCCTACTATACGGATGCAAAACATGGCCGGTGAGAGTAGAGCACATTAGTAGGTTATTAATATTCAATTATAGGTGTCTCCGAAGCATTGCTCGTATATTCTGGGACAACCGGGTAAACAATGCTGTCGTTAGGAAACTAGTTCTAGGTAGCGACGGCAAATCAATAGATGAAGTGTTGAAACTTCATCAGTTGAGGTGGTTGGGACCTGTGTTACGTATGCCCAACCACTGACTACCTCGTCGAGCTATGTTTTGCAATGTAGGACTAGTTTGGAAGCAAGCTAGGGGCGGACAAACCGAAACATGGCACAAATCAATGAAGTCACTGACAAATGGACTGAGTCATGTTGGTAGGTGTAGGTTACCTGGTTGGGGTCCACGAGGTGATAGTAGTAATCGATAGTCAGAGACCTTGAATGAGATGGCTCAAAATCGTTAGCAATGGCGCAGGTGCATTTACTCTTTGTGTTCTATGAAATCCTAACCTTCTGAATTCCTCATCATCTCTATCTTTCTCTTTCTAAACTTATCGCACTGAATTATAATTCTTGAATAATATCTTCGAATCCTAATCTAATCCATTATCTATAATGCTTCTAACTCCGCCAGTAGAACCTTCGGGGCTACTGCCGGTCCCAAGCCCGGGTAAAGGAGGAGGGTTGGACATGGGGTTGGTGACCCCATTCCGTCTGCTTCTGCTATCGCTACCACTATGTGATTTGTTGTGACAGTTGCGTCTCCGTGCTAATGCGGCATGGCCAACTGTATCGATATACGTATGTACGAAGTTCTACGTTGTAACTGACTGACTGACAAGTTTACAATATTTTTTCTTCATTATAGAATTATGCAGATTGAAATCATAAAATCAATCATAGTTAGACCAGAATTAGAAATCTGGAAGCATTGCGATGCTGTTTCATCCTCTTTTGCGACTCATCAGCTGGAGTTATGGATGTATACTACTTCTGAAGGCTCATGCCAAACGAAATGACTGTTCAAGGCTACAAGGTTTTTTCATAATTTTCATAATGATGATTGATTCATGATTACAGTTTGTTAACAAGCCAAATGTTTTTCAGAATACAATACAATCAGATTATCAAATCCATCTCTTATCACAGAATCGAGATTAGTGAGAACTGAATTAATAACTCTTTTAAAATTTATATAGACATTAGTACCCAAGAATTCCTTAAAAATTTTTACCAGAAGACAGGAAAAAAAAATAAGAAAATAATTTTCTGAAAAGCACAAACTAACTAACACATTCCGTTAAGAAGTGTAGGCAGACATGAGGAAATTGAACAACAATCAGGCGGAACTAACTCAAAAAGGAGGCCCAGGACAGAGTAGGTTAGTCTGAAGGAATCAGTTAAGTTCAGAGACTCTCTATGATCAATGAACAACTGGACAGAATTGGAAAGCAAGGCCCTCGGATAAAGTAGGTTAGAGAATACTGGTTAGCGGCCCATGCTGGATTGTGGGTAACAGGTTTAAGTAAGTATGTAAGTGAATAAGTAAGTAAGTAAGTCATTAAGTTACAGAAATATTAGAGATGTTAGTGAGCTTAAGTAGATCCTTAAATTTATGTTACATTTACTAAAATGAAGAGTTTGATCATTGGACCATTCAATTCAGAGAATGCTGATAGATGTACGTAACTATTCAGTAAAAACATAAAATTCTGTGTTTTGGGAATTTCGTCTCAACTGTTCATAAAAATTAAATGTTTATTGATGATGAAATCACTTCAATTTTACCAGGTTGTTTGTATTTTTCATCGATGGAATTAGTTTAAATCAAATTATCACAGTGAATATATTCTTTAAGCTTTCTCCAGAAAATAGCAGTCTAATCGACTCTTAGAAACAAGATAGACATCGACTGTGATTGAAGTGGGAGGTAATTAAAAACTTAGCAAGTTAAAAAAGTATTCTTGATCCCTAATCTATCTATCTATCTATCTATCTATCTATCTATCTATCTATCTATCTATCTATCTATCTATCTATCTATCTATCTATCTATCTATCTATCTATCTATCTATCTATCTATCTATCTATCTATCTATCTATCTATCTATCTATCTATCTATCTATCTATCTATCTATCTATCTATCTATCTATCTATCTATCTATCTATCTATCTATCTATCTATCTATCTATCTATCTATCTATCTATCTATCTATCTATCTATCTATCTATCTATCTATCTATCTATCTATCTATCTATCTATCTATCCACACATCTATCTATCTATCTATCTATCTATCTATCTATCTATCTATCTATCTATCTATCTATCTATCTATCTATCTATCTATCTATCTATCTATCTATCTATCTATCTATCTATCTATCTATCTATCTATCTATCTATCTATCTATCTATCTATCTATCTATCTATCTATCTATCTATCTATCTATCTATCTATCTATCCACACATCTATCTATCTATCTATCTAATGTAAACTTAAATTTACATCAATTTATTATGAAATATACATTTCATATCACAAAGTACTATTTATATTTTGTCTAAGTAATAAATAACTATTTTTTCTCACACTGACGTCATCATTTGAAGGACAGAAAAACAATATTTAATTGACTGAGCTGACATTTTTCTAAATGATAAACAATCCCTAACTAGACAAATAAAAAATACAGTAGAAAACCTATCATCAAATCAAGTATATGTATATATATAGCTTTGTTCTACATGTTTTGTTTACGAGAAATTTCGTCTCGGTTTCAGCTTAAAGATAGTAGGTCGATTGACTTATGTTCATTCTTGTAGGCTGTTTCAGCGACTTCTTGAATATGTTCACCAATATGACACCGATCGCACTTGTTTTTGTGTAAAGTATTCCAGTCAATCACCAATCTTGCTGAAAAATAGAATCTTACTTTGATTAGTATTTGATCGCCGGTTTTTTAAAGTATCTTGCAATAGCATTAGAGATGAAACGCCAATCACATACTGTACGATAAGAGAAATGTTTTTTGGCATTTTAAGCGTTTGCAAGTACAAGTTGACTAAAAATTAGTTTCCATACTCTGGATCCATTCAAGTGCGATAGTATCATAAGTCAGGCATAAACCAGGATACTAGATTGAAGTAATCTAAGTAAGATCTAACATAGATGGGTCGATAAAACTTGTCAAAACATTTGAATGGATGCTTTTTTTCGAAAAACTCTTTACTGTGATATTGATGGATGTGTTTAATGCACGAATCACTTTTTCTGGTAAACATCTTTTTTAGTCAGTTAACTGTTTACGAAATGATTTCGCTAACCCGACGCCCAACCCTCCTCCTTTGTCCGAACTTGAGTTCGGCAGTAGCTCCAGTATGGATTCCAGGCGGATTTGGCTTTAGGGTGAGATAGATCTATTATAATATTAAACTATTTTAAGTATTCTATTTCAGAAATTGTTTTTGGAAAGTACAATATTTCACATGTATTACTGTAGATCCAAATTGTCAGTCAGGAACTGTTAATTCTTTTCAACTAGACATCCTGTTGCTGTATAGACGATCTATTAAGTATCTTTGCAAGCGTCATATGAGATTGGTTGGATTGGAATCACGTCAACCAACTACACGTTTATTTTGTGAATTAATGTTTGAATGTGTAGAGGGCACTATGCGTGTACAGTTTCTGTAATTAAGAAGGTGAATTATTCAGTTCACTAACCAATAGACCATAGGATTCGGCGTTCACCTTCTGACGACATTGTCTATGTACATTGCTCATCTGCCATCAAACTGGAACAAACTGATTTCCCAGTGTTTTTCTGTTGGTTGAAATATCACTTTCTTTTTCCAATCAACAAAATATTATACTGTCCATCCTTATCACTTCGAACAAAGAATCAAGGCACTGATTAGGTATTTTATTAAGTTTGTAAGTGTGTAGCCTAAAACTTTCATTGACCAATATGATAACCGAATAAACAAATTAGTGTTTGTTGATTTTGAACAAAAAAAACTTGTTTGTTTTCAACTGTTCAAATTATTTATTTATTTATTAACCAATTATGCAAATACTAAACGAATCATCAGATATTTTCAATGTAATTTTCAAAATACAAAACAACATTACATTCATTCATATATCATTCAAACAAATTGATTATTGTTTTCAAGAGGCGGGAAATTTATTATTTTTTTTCAAAAAATTTCCCAATAACCAAACTCACCTGATTGGTACATTCAATATTGAAACGTGATTGGCTAAAAAATAGAACAACAATCAAACTGATGATGTAAAGCGAAGAAGTTCATTGTTTCATTTTGTTTGTTTTTATATACCAACGAGCCAAAAAATTGAACCCAGATGATTTTCGAATCTTGAACATTGAACAGAATTATTTCGTTTAAAACAAATTAATTTTTTCTGAAGACAGTCACAGTTTCAAATAAAATACATTGACTTTTTCGTATGGAATTGTTAAATTCTTTGATTTATGTTGTTTTGTTTTCAAAATCATTATGAAATAATTTTTAATTTCAATATGGAAATATCAAAACAAACAAAAACGTTAAGTTTCGAATGATCAGAAAAAAAATTGAATTTTGAAAAGTTGCATACATTTATTAAAAATTACCTATTTCTTTTTGTTGAAATTACAATTTTAGCGAAATTTTATATACATTTCATAATAATAATAAGTAGTATTATCAATGAGTGGATTATCACCGACTGAAATAAATTTATTCACTGAAAATAATAATAATAATAATACTATTGAACAATTTGAAAATGTCAAACTAAATCCAACTCATTGTTTTAATCCATTAACTATATCCACTTATTGCGCGCATGAAATGAATCCTGAATTGACAACAACACCAAAAGCAACAACAACAACAACAACAACTCCATTATTAATGATCACTAGTCCGAATGAAACTGTACAATTCGATGAGAAAAGTTATCATATTGATTTATCCTGTGATGAGTCTTATCAGCGACCATCAGTGCGTTTAGCGGATAGAAAAAATCAATTAACTGTGAATAGAGAATGTTCACTTACTGATGCGAATGATCATACAACTACAATTTCTATTGTTGTTCCATCGTTGAATAAAAATCGACGTTATAGTGATCAAGGATCTAGATTGTCAGAGATGAATACCACTCATGATAGTTCATTGTCATCTATGCATAAACGACAAAGTTTATTTAATATTAATTCAAATACACAACATGATCATGATTTATTTTATAAAACAAGATTATATCCACCGACAAGATTTAAAAATACTTCATCTTCGAATGTTGATTTGTTGGCTGAAGCAATTTTAAAAATGCAAGGAACATTAAATTGTAAGTAGTATGTGTAGTTCTGTTTATTTTTTATTTCTTTGAATTGTATCAACAAATCCGTTTTTTTATATCTCAAGTAGCTGAATCGATCACTGTGTTAGATCACCACCATTAGAAAGAAACTTGGAAACACTGAAGGACGGACATTTTGTCCTGGTATGCGACTCATCAGTGTCAGTGCGCATCCACGACTCTTGATGCTTACACAAGACTATGGATTGATCGAAGTTGGACATTACCAGCGTTAGATACTGGCTCAGTGGTTCAGAGGTTAGGCGTTTGCACACATAACCAAAGGTTCTGGGTTTGAATCCTGTGAGTAGTAGGAGTCGTGGATGTGCACTACCACTGATGTGTCCCATAACCGGACAAAACGGTAGTCTTTCAGTGCTTCTAGGTTTTTAATGGTGGTTTAACAATTAGCTTATCACCGTCTTCCGACTTTACCCTCTAATATAAAAGAAAATATTTTTTTGTGAAAAGGTCAAATCAAATCAGGGCAATTTATCAAGCGTCAATAATCATAATGAAATAGAGATTATGTAACTACACATGAAGAAGATGAAAGTCACAAGTTGATAGTAGGAAAAATAAGTTTATTACTATCAGTAGCAAAAATAATGAAATAAACTAACTAGGGATAAATAAACTCGAAATAATAATCACAAAATACTGTTAGGATTGCGTAATAAGGAATAGGGTTGAATATTCAGATTCCTATAGCTTCTGCTATATGTAGGAGACACGATCGAACTCCGTTGTGAGCTAATGGGTGCACACGATAGATAGATCAGTCGGAATGATTCGGTTTTATCTAGATGATAACTAATGTCAAATCAATGTGCCGAAATAGAGCTACGTAATGTTTTTATCTGGCCATTACCATCTCATACTGAGATATATTCACTCATTCATTGGTTCAGTTGCCTTGGAGTACGCTCAGTATAGCTATCTCTACAGGAGCAGCTGAATTTATAAATTCACGCTGGGGAGGCCAATTCAGGCAATTTATCCTTTGTTCGAGAAGACGTCACTAGTCGACACAGAAATTTTCAATGCAAGACTGATGGTGTAGAATGTCCCACTAGTTAACTTTGTTAATCTATCATGCAGGATATCACTAGGTATTTCTTGGTTGAACTGTTATTTTAGGTGCTCGAAATCTCCGACTAGTTTTTCTCGGTATATATATAAACTTCTTTAGGGAATCACTCAGTTAGACGATCCAGTAGGTAGCTTCTGAATTCCAGCTCCTTTTATCCACTGAGCAGATCATTTATGCTCTGCCTATGAGACATCTAGCCAAATTTATTTTGAAGTGGATCGGTGTAAAAGTATGAAAGTGTTTATAACAAAGTGTCACTCCATTCTGTCATAATCATCCTCATCTATGAAAGAAAGTGATTGTCAAGTCTAGACTGTTGATTTTTGTTTCAATGAATTGTATGAATGTATAAACTTTAAATAATAACCTAAACATTGACCATTACTATATAGAGCAAACGTTTTACTAGAAAAAACAACGGTTTTATAGTTAGAATATTCCAAGTTAAATAATAATTCCTGATTAAACTACCTCCAAAAATGTTCCATTTTTAGTGTGTGTTTAAACATTTTTTTTCATGAGTGTTTATGATGATTAAAGTGGGAATTTGTATTTGTAACAAACTAAGTGATTGAACATGATTCAAATAAATCCAACGTTTCGACCAGTGTTATAGTTCTTTTTTTTGTTCACTGGAATATTTAATCAAACATGAAAAGTATCGAATATAAATGTATACATATTATTTATGGGTGAACATGTTTTCTAAGAAAGAGTAACTAAATTATGTGTTTAAGATCCGACAGTATATCTGATAAATCTTGGTTTTAAGTTCTTGTTTTAAAAAAAATAATTATTGAACAACTGAAATCAGCTCATTAAAACACTGGTAATCAGTTCAAGAATCAATAACTGTGAATGTAATGAATAGTTGTATGATAATCGTTTCGTTTTATACTGAATATTTTATGTGGACAAAGAAAAATGAAGCGATAAGTATGTACTACTCAAATTCACATGAAATAGAGAGAAGAGTTAGCACTAATCTACTGGTTGTTCAATATTCAAACTTCAATTTGCGAATCCACATTAATTTTACAGTTTTAAAACAGTTTTATATGATGAACACAGCTTTTTTCTGATATTTTAAATAATTCAGTAAATTTCTAAGAATTTTCATCTAAATATTAGTAAATAGTTTTACGGTATTTGGGTGTCAAGTTAATGTAAGACATTAAGATGTGAAGTTATATTTGTCTCAACGATTGAATTTGAAGTGATTTCGACATCTTAATTGGCAATCTGTTTGAAAGTTTGATCAAACATGAAAAATATCGAATATAAATGTATATATGTGTATGGGTGAACATGTTGTCCAAGAAGGAACAACTGTATGATGTTTATAAGGTCCAATGTAATGATCATAATCATAAGTTTATAGGCGAAACTTCAAGATAGGTGAGTGTGACAGTGTGAAAGGACACAAAATTCGTTTAAAGCACATGTCTAACTCCTCAGAAGAAATGAGAAAACTGGAGAACAAGTCAGTCATAACATTACACTCATTAAAAAATCTGATCATACAGTTGATTTCAATGACCCAAGATTCCTCAAAAAGACTTTGGGTCGTAAGACTAACATCTGAAGCTCTAAATATTTGTCATAGTCTAAATGACATTAATAGGAAGGATTCAATACATTCGGCTTACTTATTTAATTACGCCTGTTACCCTCCATGGAGTATATGCCACCTACCAGCATTCTCCAACCAATTCTGTCATGAGCCTTCTTTTTTGGTTCTTCCGGATCGCTGTTCATTCTTCTCATATCTCTCTCGGAGTAATGTGTTCCTTGGCCTTCCTTTTTTCCTTTGACCTTAAGGGTTCTAAGTGAGTGCTTGTCTTGTGACACAGTTGAATGCTTTCCTCAATCTGTCTCAATACGATTAACTGTCCTATGGCAACCATTAATAATTAATAGGTAAGCTTGAACTCCATCTTACATCTCTTATTTATCTGTTACTTGTTCAGTGAACAGTAACGGTTACTTTCACTCGTTCCAATTTGTTATTTGGTTTATCTGAATATGTAATGACACGCCAGTTTGATTACCACACAATAAAACAAATTTATATATATTTTCATTTTATGCAGACTGTAATATGTTGGACATTTAACATACCTTCCACACCGAATACCTCATTTACACACTATAATTAATATCACTTTTGCACACTGTTAACAAGAACAGATGATTTCATTAACTTATAGATAATCAGTGGACCCCATGACGTTGATATTCGATAATTTTAATGTTTACCTAAATACTTCCTTGAAAAAGTAGCCTTTCAGTCAGATTGTCAATGTGAAACATTGAATTTATGTCATGTTCAACCAGTGAGATTGTTAAAAATATAATTTTTCTCTTACAATTCAGGTTTTTTTATACATCCATTAGTCTAGTTTTTCAGTTACTTATCAGTTTAACTAACTGTCAATTATGATTAATGGTTGTAAATTTCTGAAAATAAGGGGAGAATCTAGAATCTCATCTTGACTTTCATTTAATAGATAAATTTAATGACGCCATTATTTCAGGAGTAGGCGTGAATTGAAATTTTTATTGATTATTAGTTGCTACTCTGACTGAAGCCCTCCTAAGGTCACTGCCGGACCCAAGCCCGGATAAATGAGGAGGGTCAGGTACTAGGTTAACGATCCTATCTCGTAGGAAACCCACTTCGTAAAAAAAACGCGCTAACCAGAACAAATAATTTAAGCCAAGTAAATTTTTTGACATACATTATGTTCTTTTTTAAAAAAAAAACGTATTTGTGCATCAGTTGTTTAAATGAATATTTAAACTTAACATACCTACCAATCAAAATGTCACAGCCATTTTAATTGTTGCAGTCTACAGCCCACGTGACATTACTCGTTATATATTCAATTATTATTATCACTATTATTATTATTGCTATTCAGGGATTAAATTTCATTAAAATTCCTAACTTGGTAGGGAGGGTTTGGATTGTCTCTGCGTAGAGAAAAACAAACATTCGAATATTTTGTAATTATATAAACTGTATATAGACATAGACAAGAGTTTCTCCATAGTAAAGATTCTATCAGATTTTATTGTTTGTTTTATTGCGAAAAAAAATCACACATCGTAGAGAAGATGCAAATGGGGATATTTTTTTCCTTTTTCAACTTGAAAAAACGAAATTCACAATCTCTATATATATATTGTCGAGTCAGTAGCTAGCGAAACGAGAGACAATAGGAATAGATATACGTATATATATATATATATATATATATATATATATATATATATATATATGTACGAGTGAGGAGCCTGCAGTGTTTGCCATGTTCACGTTTTTTTGTTGTTCGAAGTAAAGGAGAAAAAACTTCTTTGCTTTAATTGGCTTTTCTTTTTAACTCTAAACATGTTTCTTTTTTTTCATGGGAAACATGATGGGAGTGAATGCTTAATGTGTAACACATTATTTTTAATTATCGACCATGAAAATGTATTAGGTATTTATTTCGCATATATAGATGTTTCCATCTGAAGTTTGTGCTGATAATGTTGTTGTTCAGAAAAAAAAACAATGATGAAAACTCCACAATCAAAACATCCAGTTCACTGAGTATGAAACACCCCACCACAAGGCTTCTAATGTACTATTGAAATAAACGAGAACATTGTTTCTGCACATTATAAATCATCACCCAGTCATTGTTAGACCACCATTAGAAACCTGGAATCACAGGGCAACCGTTTCGTTCTGGTATGGGATTCATCAGCAGTGCTCATCCACGACTCCTGCACCGGGGAACTTTGGTATTGTGCGCGAACGCCTAACCATCGGACCACTGGACCATTGCTGATTGTATATGGGTTAGAATGTTGAAAAATGAACAAGTTTCTATGAGGGACCTGTTATTGCTCAGT